TGCCCCCAACTCAGCCATGGTAGGGCTCAAAGGACACCAGGCCCCAGAGTGGACACACTCCCCCTGTTCTGCAGGCAGGGGGAATAACGGTATTGGTAATCCTCTCTCCAAAGACTGGAACAACCAGAAGGTGAGCCCAGGCAAGTGTGGGTCTCAGGCCTGGAGGTCTGTGAAGGTCAACAAGTTCAGTGAGTTCCAAACTTTTTTAAGCAGCAGAAACCTATTTACAAACAGAAATCTTACTTAGAAGCCTAGGAAGCAAAGTGGCATTTTACCAGGAGAGTGTGTGTACACTTTAAAACGGAGCTTCCTAATTACCCAAGATGGCAAAATGACAAATCAAGTTTAAAAATTGTCAAAGCATTTAGATTTATAAGCCACAGTGATAAAATATTAAATGTGTTTGCTAAATTCAACTATTTAACATTTATTTATTATAATGGCACCTTGATGACAGCCCCAAGGAAGTTTTTATGAACACAAAATATACAAAGCAAAGTTGGAATCACTTCAAGTCTCAGAATCCCATGTTTTTCATTGTTGCTGTTGGGTTTTTTTATTGTTTTATCTTTTTTCTTGTTCAGGTTTGAGAAACATCTAGATTTTTTAAAAGAATTATTTTATTTTATTTTATTTATTCATTCATTTATTTTAATTTAACCAGAGGGAGACAGAGGGAGGCCAGTGAGAAAGCAAGCCACCAGGTCTGGGACTTGAACTGTGGTCAACTATGTGGGAATGTCCAGCGCCTTAACCACCACGCCACCTGCTGGTCCCAGAAACATCTAGATTTTTATAGACAGTGGTTTGAAGACGTCACCTGCAAATCTCATTATTTACTCTTCAATTAAGTGGATTCATTCATACATTTGCCAAAAAAATATTTATTGAGTGTCTACTATGCGTATAGCATTCTACAAAGGCATAAATAAGAAGAAAGAAATATTTGTTTCAATCTCAGCTATTAACATAACAATTATTTACATTCCTCATTGTGAGTATAAGCCAAATGAACAGACTCAAGCTTAGCATCTCTGTATAGGATCCTAGGATAAACTATTGCGATATTGTAGCCGGCCATGGATCATTGCCCAACATAAAGGAGCTGGGCAGGGATGAAAAGCACAGAGGGAGAAGAAGCGGTCCAAGCAGCCCTCCTCCCCATCTCCCACCCCCCCAACTCTCTTCCTCCCAACCTCCCCAACACCCAAGGGGCCCCTCATTGTGAAGACAGGGAACCCAGGCTCTGGCTTGGGAGAGCAAGCATGTTTAATCACATCTGTGACTGTCTGGTTTTGAAGAAATACAAACATCCTTATTAATGACGTGTTTCAAGAAGTTCTGATATGTACGTGGGGCATCTGTCCCCCTGTTCATTCATTCACCATCTGTCAAGTGCCACCATAAGACCACTGCTGTGGTGGCTTCTGGAACTATCAGGATGAACCAAACAAACGTCCTTGCCTTCACAGGGCTATGCCAGTCAATGAACAAACTGACGAAACAGATCTCTGAAGAGCGACAGTGGAGCCGGAGGGCGGTGCAATGGTGACTCGGAGCTCTGTGATGCTGTCCCAGCAGGAAGGTCCTGGGTTCGTGTTCAGAGCCTCCCTCCACACACACTGTGACCTCGACCGGTGGAGGCTGGTGGGAGATCACGTCATGGGGACCCTGCTAGGTCAGAGAGAGCCTGAGGAGGCAGCGTTTGAGCTGTGCTCTGATATATGAAAAGCAGTCCGTCTTCGGCAAAGCCCGGGGACTGTGCTACGAGTTGAGAGCAGTAGGTGCAAGACTCCGCAGTGGGACCCTGTTCGGAGCATTGGGAGAAAGGGAAGGAGGTCAGGCTCATCAGAATGGAGAGATCGGAGAGGACAGTGGTTCCAGACGAAGCTGGAGAGAGGCTGAAGCCAGCTCAAGCAGGGCCTTCCCGGCCAGAGTAAAGAGGTGAATTTTTATTCTATGTGCAACGAGAAGTTGTTTGAAGCCTGATGCAGAGGAGCAATATATTCCTATTTCAGGCTAGCTTTTTGTTTGTTTGTTTGTTTTACTTATTTATTTGTTGTGATTTTCAGGTCACTGGGTCCAGGACTTGAACTGTGGTCAGCCAGTTGGGAATCCAGCATCTCAACCACCATGCCATTGCCAGCCCCATTTGTGATTTTAAAGGTTTACTTGAGCTGCTGTATAAGGAAAGGACGTTACTGCAGCCAGAGTGAAAGTGAGGCTTAGCAGGCAGGTCACTGGTTGCCTGGGCCAGCAGGATGGCCCCTTAGTCCAGCTTGGTGACACTGGAGAGGGACCGGCTTGAGAGATGCCTTAGAGGTAGAGTGGACATGTCTTCTCCTGCCCAGATCTCTCCTCTGCAACTCCAGCCTCATAAATCCTCCTGCCTAATCCTTATATCCACCTGGATGTCCGATAGTATTTCAACTTTTGCCCAAACTTGGGCTCTTGCTCTGCCACCCATAAATTTGCTCTTCCTCAGTTCCATTCTTCCACGAGTCCTCCTTAACTCCTTTCTTATCTCCATGCCCACATCTGGACAGGAATGAATCTTGCTGGCTCCATCTTGAAAAACATCTGGAACTCAACCACTCTTTACTAGCTCCACCACTACGACCCACATGTGTACTACCATCGCCATGCACGGCAGTTATTACAACAGCTTCCTACTTGATCTTCCGGCTACCCTGCCCCTCCAGGTACCAGCGTGCACCTGTTAGAGTGGAAGTCAGGTGGCGACGTTCTTTTCTTCTGCTGAAGCTTTCCAGTGGTATTCCACCTCAGAATAATTCCTATTCTCCCTCTCCACCCTATCTTCCGTCGCTCTCCCCTGCGTTCACCCCGCTCTAGACATCCCAGCCTCCTTGCTGTACTTTAAACCTGCCAAACCCTGTCCTACCTCAGGACCTTTGCACATGCTTCTCCTTTTACCTGGCCCCAGATACCTGCCGATATCTGCTTCCACTTCCCCTCGCTCAGGTCTCTGCTCAAATTTAACCAGGCCAGAGAGGTCTCCCCTGACTGTTCCAGACAATGGAATAGCTGTCGTTGCTTCGTTCCTTTGTCTTGCTTTATTTTTCTGCATAGAACTTAAAACCTCCTGATATCATATACTTCTTGCTTATTTGCATGTTGTCCGTCACCTCTCCCTACAGTGTGAGCATCGTCCAAGCGGAGTCTTGGTTTTGTTTATTGCTGTATCCCCCGTGTGCTGATTGATCTGCCATGAGTGAGTGCGTGACTGGAGCTATGGAGGGAAGGGGGCATCACTTCAGCACTGCTGGTGGCAGACAGGTGAAGAAGGTAGGGCCCCAAAATAGCCTCTGGGTTTGGTGGAGGGGGGTGCTTCTCAGGGCTCTATAGGACCAGCAAGGATGGCTTCCAGAAGTTAGTGAGAGGCACAGAGATCACTCTTGCTTACGTTTCTGGTTCCAGGAGAGGAGACTCAGGTAGGAATACAGAGTCAAGGGAGATTTCCAGCCAGAGTGCCAAGAGAAAGGTGTAGATGACAGATTCAGAAAGAGGTTGAGAGGTCTCCGTGGGGCTACAGTTATGCTAGGGCTTGCAGGGAAGCCAGAGATTCCTCAGGGAAGCGGTCCCCGCCTTCCCAGTGAACCTGCAGCCCTCTCACTGTTCAGCTGGGCTGAGGGTCCCTCCGCCTCAATCTCTTCCTATGCTCACCACCACAACGGCTGCAAGAGATGGTTAGTATCTCCAAATTTATCAGGTGGAAACTGAGGCTTGGGAAGGAAAGACGATTTCCACAAAATCACACAGCCGGGGAACTGTGAGGTCTGGACTCAGCCTGCCTGCAGACTCTACTCTCCAAGGTTCCACTCTGAGTTGGGGCTCTTCAGGCCAGGCCCGCCAGCTCTTGACCTTTCAGAAAAGCCCTTCCCTTGGCTCAGCACCCTGACGGGGGAGGGGGTGGGGGAGACAAGCCCCTCATCCCCCAAACACACCAGGAGAGTTTTCCCAGGCCTGGCATTGGGCAACTGGCTGCAGAAACATGGTTATGATGGGCGAGAGTTGGGAGAGATTAGAGTGAAGCCTCAGCGATCCACCCTACTAGGGATGCCATTGGAACACTGCCGGCAGGAAGATCTGCTCTTTCTCCGTACCGATGCAGCTGGGTTTCTAAGAGTCTAGGAAAGATGGACTGGGCTTCCCCGGGCGAACTGGCGGGGCGTCGGTCTTCACGTCCAGGTGGTCTTGGGCTAGCAGGCAGAGGCTCTGAGTCTCACGGACTCTAGTTGGGCGCTTTTCTGCCCAGCCTCTAGCTTTCTGCTCTCCGAGCGTCCTTTCAAATGTTTCTCTCACCGATCTCTCCCGGTGCGCTCCCTCAGCTGGAGTTTGTCTCTGCCCCACTGCCTTCCGTCTCTCTCCAAATGTCCCCATCGCCCTGCTCCTGGGTCACCCTAAACGATCACAGAGAAGAACCCAAAGTTAACTTGGAGGTGAGAGAGCACAGGCAGCGTTTCCGAGGACAACAGAGGAGTGAGCGCTGAAGTTTGGAAAGGGCGCCCGAGAGCCAGGGGCTCCCGCCGTGCGCTGCCAGTCTGCCCTCCTCCTCGCTGCCAAGGGAGAGGCAGGGCAGCGCGCTGCCGGCGTGGAGGGAGGGAGGACCGCCACTCTCCAGTCCTTACGGCCACCCTGGGGACCCCAAGCTCCGCCCTGCTCTGTTCCTATTGGTTTCGGCCTCCCCCGCCCCCAGCCGCCCGCTCTGGCTCCAGGACTTTTTGGCTACTACGGATAAATAGCCCAGGGAGCACGGCGCAAAGCTAAGGGTGGGGAAGCCCCCGGGCTCTGCAGCAGCTTTCCTCGCCACACTCCAGCCCAGACAGGACCAGGAGGGGTGGGGGGCTATCGCGGGCGCACTCAGACCTCCAGCACTTTGGTGTCGCACTGCCCACCCGGGCCACCGGAGCGGCACAAAGTTCCGCGCAACTCCTGTCGCTTCGCTTGGGTGAGGCCAGGACTGCACTGTCCCCCACTGGGATATGGAGCTACTGTCGCCACCGCTCCGTGACGTAGACTTGACGGGCCCCGACGGCTCTCTCTGCTCCTTTGCCACAGCGGACGACTTCTATGACGACCCATGTTTCGACTCCCCGGATCTACGCTTCTTCGAGGACCTGGACCCGCGCCTGGTGCACGTGGGCGCACTCCTGAAGCCGGAGGAGCACTCGCACTTCCCGGCCGCGGTGCACCCGGCCTCCGGCGCGCGCGAGGACGAGCATGTGCGCGCACCCAGCGGGCACCACCAGGCGGGCCGCTGCCTACTGTGGGCCTGCAAGGCGTGCAAGCGCAAGACCACCAACGCCGACCGCCGGAAGGCGGCCACCATGCGCGAGCGGCGCCGCCTGAGCAAAGTGAATGAGGCCTTTGAGACGCTCAAGCGCTGCACGTCCAGCAACCCAAACCAGCGACTGCCCAAAGTGGAGATCCTGCGCAACGCCATCCGCTACATCGAGGGCCTGCAGGCTCTGCTGCGCGACCAGGACGCCGCGCCCCCTGGCGCCGCCGCCGCCTTCTACGCGCCCGGCCCGCTGCCCCCGGGTCGCGGCGGCGAGCACTACAGCGGCGACTCGGACGCGTCCAGCCCGCGCTCCAACTGCTCCGACGGCATGGTAAGGCCGGGGCCCCGTGCGCGAGGAGAAAGCGAGGCTGAACCCAGCACTTGAGACACCCTAGACACTTTTCCGAGGGCCAGGATTGGCCCCCCCGAGGGGTGGGGGTGAGGGTAGAGGAGTCGGGGAGTGAAGCCCCGAGTCCGAGGCAGCTGTCACTGGGGACGTGAAGATCTGAGCCCTCTGTATTTAGCTCTATGCAGACGCAGGTTTCTGTGCCTAGGCGACCGCCCGCCCGGGTTTGGCCCTGCGTGCTGGAGATCTCGGCTGGTTTTTTTTTTTTTTTTTTTTT